CCTAGCATCAGTACCTTTTCAACGGCACCAATAGTTTTGGCCTCGTACCATACAGCAATACACGATAACCACGCGCAGATAGCTCAGGCGCTATATCCTTCCATATTAGAGAGGGCACAGAGAGGCCGTGGATGAGTACAATCTGTCAATGGTCAGACGATCGCCTGCCATCTTTAGGAACACGATCGCGACGCACTTTTGCTCCCGTTTCGGGACCCATAAGCCAGTATCGAACCTAGAGAAGACATCCATCAAGTCAGCGCCGCGTCTCAGAGCATCTACGCGCCAAATCGGGCCACGTAGCGCCACAGGGAAAATGGACCCACCCGGCCGTAAGGGAAGTCAACATATGCTCCGCCAGGGTAATAGTCTTCGGGGTATATATCCCATGACTTGCAGGTCTTGGGGAGGCTGGCCAGGGATGGATGAAGATATAGGGAATCGGGGGGACTGGGAAACGCGGCCAGGAGATATATCGTGAGTAAGAGTGGGGGCACGATCAAAAGCGTGTAAGCCAGGCAGTGTATCGGATGTGGCGGCATTATAGTGGGAGATCCCACTGTTCGTGGAAGAGTAGAGCCAGGAGGAGGGAGGGGAAGAACGCAGTGACCGGGCAGTAGTGGTGGTCAAAAAGTAAGCCTTACTACTAATGGCATTAGTTGCCGACCGGCGATAGTCGATTCGGCAAACGCCGACGTAGGTCCGGTCCGCTGGCTCTCGGCTTATGATTTGAAATTTGAGCCAGAGACTTGTTGAGTCAATGAATCCTCTTAGATCCAGACATGTTCCGCAATTAGAGACCGAGGAAGGCGATTCTAGTTTCATGGCTTATCGGTAGGGGATATGCATGTCTTGAACGTGTTCCATGACGCATTCCCCAAACGTCTCACGCTCCGCCACAATCAACGCAGATCCTGTACCGTCTCATGATAAACATCTACCGAGACTGAATGGTGGATCTATTTACGCCACACCCTGTCTGATCACATGAACTACGGGACACTTCTGAGCGAAGAGGTGGGTCACGTAGATGTGAAGCTAGATGCATAACTGATACAAGTGATGATACGTATAGCGGTACCGTAGGTGAATTAGAGCTTACCGTCAGCGCGATCATCGATGCGCCGTTCCTAAATCATCAGCCTCGAATATCGTTCCGGAAGCGCAATGACACACTCACCGACTGTGCCGCTACTTGCAGAATTGCAGAGCCAACGGATGAAAACACTCCCGGCTCTGATTGCTCGATGCGGCAAGGAGCCGTGCACGGCGGGGCGTAGTTGTTGCTGGCCGTGGCACTCTCTGGTAAGCGACTGAGAGTGCGCGGACTCGCCACTCGCCGTGCGTCAGAAGGGCGACCAACGTGGAAAGTACTCAAGAATCCGAGGGCTTGTCTGCCTGTTCATGGGCATCCATCGATCATGAGGGGAATGACTCGCGCCATTTGCGGATGAGGATGGGCTTGACTATTGCATTGGATTGCCAAATAATGTAGAACTGCGACAGAGTTATGCGTATTGTACGACGACGAATATCAGAGGCGATGCCGCCTGCTTTAGTGATACTCTAGGTTGTGATTTTGAGATTCGCGATCTACATGGTAGGGAAATTGACTTTCGTAATCGACATGTTGAGAATGTAATAGCAGGAATCAGAGGCGCCGCGCGGGCGCCACATCACGTGCCTAATACTCGTGCCGCGTTACTAACGGTTTCAAAACGCGGGCGGGTCATTGGTAACAGCGCCGAGGCGATTTACTGCGCCACGCCGCTCGGTCACGGAGAATCACCCAAAGACGGCAGTAGGTAGGTAACCAATTCCAACAAAAGAGTTTATCGCATTCATAGCCCACCGCGAGGGTCGAACTCGCAGCCTTCAGATCGTTGTCCCGCCTTGAAGATAAAAGTCTGACGCTCTATCCGATTGAGCTAGGCGGGCTGTCCAAGCATGCTCAACGCATTAATACATATCTTACTTTTGGTTCCTGAGACTGTACAGCTCCAAACAATCATGAAAACACTGCTCCTTCCATTAAAAAGCATCATGGACCTTTGAACAAACTTTCACACATAACATCTCATATAATCAATACGCGCACTTCACGTCAATCCAGGGTAAACATCCCCACCCGGCGGAATATACGCCTCGTTCGCCGCATCGCCTTGATACACATTGAAGTGGATCCCCGGGTCCTCCGCAGAGTACGTCCCAGGGAACGACAACCCAGACGGCGTGAGTGAGCCTCCCCCAGTCACATCCAACTGCACGCACACTGTCACGCATTGACCGTCAGCCCTACCTACACATATACGAATGAAGATAACTACTTACCAGGATAAAACTGCGCCCCGCCAACATTCGTGGCCCCATGCAGCGCGAGATTCTCATGCCGGAGAAGATAGCTCCCAGGCGCGATGTTGTTCGGAATACGCACGACATACGTGAAGTTGCTCTTCGCCAACGTGTCCGACGCCCATTCTCCGTTCTCGAACACGCTCTGCTGAATCTACGCAGGCTTATCAGACGAATGAATATCCGAAATCGTGGACATGGAAACAGACCTTGAACCAAGGAGAGCCCGTATCGCCCTTGTACGTCGAGCAGTCGCTGGTGGGGCATTTCGCCATATAGTTGAGGACGGGACCAAAGTGTCCGATAGGCCAGGTGTTCCATAACATCGTTACCGTTTGACCAGCAGCAACGGTCGCCGAAATGGGGCCCTTTTTTGAGGTCAGGAAAGTGTTAAGACCAACGCTGAGAGGGCTTACAGGAGGCAACGCAGAGTTTCCGATAGAACACGTTATGTCGGGCGATGTAACGTCTGAAATGAAGCCAGAGTCCTGGACGTCTTATTGAGAACGAAAGAACATCCACATTGCAAGCACATACCAGCTTCGTCCCACGGACGACGCGAAGAGGCTATGTCAATGAATGAGTAACGCACTGCCCAGATATCCGCGAACGATTCTACCTGTGGCTTCGTGTAAGGATCTTTGGTGATATCCCACCCAGGAATGTATTCGTTCCCGATCTTGATCTGGGGAACGTATCCATGGGCGGCGACACCCGTAATCGCCAACAAAAGGGTGAACAACATGATGGTGCTATGCAGAGATCTAGGCTGCCAACTTGCTTTTGAAGTGGAAAGCTTGAACCCGATTAGTAGCCGTTTTCGATTAGCGAAGGACAGTATCAACTCGACAGATGTCATCGTGTTGAAGACACCGAGCTCCGCGAATCCAGCTTGAGACCGAATATGAGCCGTTTGTCAGTGGTGAGCCAATCATTACCCACTTGAGAGACGAGAAGACATGACAGCTGAACTGGATTGTTCCCCGTCAACGTTTACTGATCGTGAGCGAGCACCTGATGAACCGACGAGAAGCCGTTTCAATTGGCTCTGGCACATTATCGGGTGTACAGCTTCGCGCGAAGGCATATATGCGTAGTAAGATTTCGGTACCGCTCGTCTTTGGCAGACCTTGGAGTTTCTCAGCAGAAGTGATCTGAATCAAGTTTTAGGAATTAAGCAGTTGATCAACAACAAAAGGACTGACCTGGCGAAGGATCTAGGTGGCAAGGTTTCTCCAGTCGGCGAAGAGTGTCAATGATCGCGACGAATGACGCGTCGACAGGCTTGTCCCGAGATTATATTCGCCTTATATTTTCGCCGCAGACAAATGCCAGGATGCACGACATTGATTCACGTTCAACAATCCAGACAAGGGGTTGAGCGACTCCATGAAAGCACATGAAGCCGGAAACGACCTATCCCAATAAGCGTGACATTATCGTTCATGCCTCGTAGCTTTTGCTGGTCAACACGGAAAGCCCATAGCCCTCGCACACTCAATGCTCGCGATCGCCAGCCTCCTCTTTCCAAACACACCATCCACTGCTCCCCCCAAACACGTCCCCATCTACCCGCACTCAAACCGCGATAAACACAGTTCACCGCCTCCATCTCCCCCAACCCTGGAAATCGGTTCAAAAACCGCTCCAACTGGCCCTCATCACAATGCACAACACATTCTTTCAGCTCAACGCGCATTATATGATGACACGCGAACACATCCGAGGGAAACGCGGCGAGGAACCACTTGTTCCCGACAAAGGACATTGACGGGATAACGTCGAGGAGAGTGTCAAACACCAGAAAAAGCTCTTCGCTTCCGTACAAGTACTGCAGTCGCGAGCCCACGATGCCAGTGCGTATATGCATGACAAGATGTGGGTTGGATTTGAGTAGGCACAGTAAGCGCGCTGACATGCGGTGCCAGTCATGACGAGAGGGTGACTGCGAAATGCAGACAGTCGCGAAGAGGTGGTGCTGTGCATAATAACGGAGTCTTCGAGAGGCAGCAGCACACGCCAATGAGTGTCCTATCGGTGAGACCACGGTCAGCGGCCAATGCATCAATACAGGCCTCAAGTGATTCCTGTGGTAGTAGCGGTGACACGGACATCGATGTCGTTTACAGTCTTTCCAGATCTAGACCTATAATACTGTAGTCAACTCTCACTAGTTAAGTCCTTGGACGGAATGTAAGGACACCTGGAGTAAACATAATTAAAGAGCAGGATGAAGAGAGACAATGGTTACCTCAGTCATATCATTGTCAAAGTGGCGGGAAGCAGGAGTGCTGTGGCTGTGCTTCTGTACTTGTAAAAACAACCATACCAGTGGCCACAATTATGTGAAAGCTGTTACTACCCCCACCAAGCTCTTTCTAGTCCGGGGTCCCTAACAAAACAAATGCAACCAAAATCAATGCTTGACCACCGCAGGGGTCGAACCTGCAATCTCCTGATCACATCTTCGTAGTCAGACGCGATGCCATTTCGCCAGGCGGCCATGTCAAAATGGCGGGGCGGCGCTACATCAGCTGCCGGTACACAGTTACTAACAACCCCGGGAGGTTTACTGCGCCACCCTAGAAGGAAACCTACCGACTGAATGAATCGATTGCCAGAAAAAAAAGTCCATTTACCCCACAAATAGCCCACCGCGAGGGTCGAACTCGCAGCCTTCAGATCGCCTAAGGCACATTGCAACCTGGTATAAGAGTCTGACGCTCTATCCGATTGAGCTAGGCAGGCTATATGTGGCGTTATTCCCCCTTCCCTAGACGACTTTGATTGTATAGGAAATGTCCGTTCACATTGAGATGTTGAAAGAACATTCACTCCATTTGACGCGAATTTGATTTTCAAAGGACGATATCTGAATCGAAGAAGAGGACGCGTACTGCGTGATTGAATCCAACACTCGACCGACCCCATCAGATACATGAAGGGGTTGATTGTACCTTGTACTATAACGGAAGGGCATAACGTGTATATCCAGTTATCACACATACGAGCGATGGTGGAGGTCGGTGATGGTGAGGACCCGAAAGAGACAGCCTGTAACGCACGACATCTCCAGCCGGTGCTGATGATCAATATCTTCTGGCGAAAATATATAGCAAAGGAAGTTCATTGGATTGGAAGAATATCAAACAGCGACATGACATCAAAAGCTCAATACATCCCAAGGGCTCTGTTGAAGTCGTCCCCCTCGCCAGCACCCATACCATATCCATGTAACACACTAACCACATCCTTTAACTCTATCGTCTTCAATGACAGCGGGAGCAACCACCCATGTAGCGCGTCACCCATCCCGTTCCCAACCTCCAAATACTTCAAATGTGTCAAGCCCGATAAATCAAACACCACTGGAAATAGATAAGCACGTCGAAATGTTAAAAAAAGAAGAAAAAACACTAACCATTTCGTCTCATAAAGCTTAGCCTCAAATCCTTCAACGTCTCCTTGTTCCCTTGGATCAGCGGAAACGCCTCCTCGACATGGCACGTCGACCACACGCTAGCGTTCTTCATCTCCAACCGCTCCAGCGTCCCGGCGACATTATCGCCCAACCATCGCACAAGCTCGTTGTTCCATCCGACCAGACGCAGACTGCGTAAGCATGGCATGGCCAGCTCGAGCTTGCGCAACCCAGATAATGAAGCATCCGGTAAATCCATTTCACTGGAACCAAGCTCTATACTGAGCTCCGAAAGCCGCAGGAAAGAGCCAGCAAGCGCTCGCATGAGCTCCTGATGTCCTGATATGATGCGCAAGTCACTTGGAGCTCGCTAAGATCCGGGAAATGCTGGGCGAATAGCCATACGAGAGATGGATCATTCTCGGCCATCCCCGAGCGAAGCGCGACATGCTTAGCCTTCAAGACCTGGAATAACTTGCGATAGGACTGCGCACGGGGAGATTTGCCGTCCATGTCGATATCATCGAATGGTATGTCGCCAACAAGGGTTATGCCGGTAATAGACGAGGACAGCGTCTCCCGCGATGAACGTAATAGTTTGACGAGCTCTTTGGAACGAGAAGGGGATGACACGACGAGCATCACTGAAGGAAGATGATAACGGCTGATAATGGTCCAAGTAGAATGGACGAGTGCACACGATAAAAGGGTGACCTTGTCGTCGCCGAGGTGAGCAATGATGAGGTCAAGAAGCTCTTGAGGTAAAAGCCCAAAAGGCCCTGTGATAGCAGAGGAACGACGAGTATGAGCGATCTTGTCGATGATGTTGCGAATGATACTGAAAGCCATGGTAATGGTTATGAAGGAAGGAATGTTAGGCTGAGATTCTGGTTTATAAAGGAAACTGGGGATAGGGGCCTGCACACAGCCTTCAGAAAGAGATCGCCGGAGAGACTTGAAAGTCTTAACCGTCCTCGTTCGTCGGTGGTTCATATCCCCGAGGCATCCGGCACCTGCACCGAAGAAGCTGTTCAGAAACATTATACTATCACACAGGCAAGAGCTCATACCATTAACGCACCAACGATCGCAGCCATGTGCACTTGAAAGCTCCCTATTCCGTGTCTCCGTCACGATAGCACGCCCAAGAACCTTCGAACCGAAGCATTTTTTATAGAGGACCATAATCACTGTCTTTGAGACGAGCGAGTCCGCCTCACGACGCGATCATATACGGTGATGGAGTCGTTTGTCCAGAGTGACTGACACGGTTGGTGACAGTGGGCACGATGGCGTATGTCTGGATATCGACGGAACTGGCACTCGGCGCGACGACTGTGTGGTGGATTTTCTGAAGTAATGGAAAAACTCTGCAATCCACAAAGGACTGATGCGAGAAATGAACCGTCGACTGCCTCTTGAACTGCGAGTGTGCAGTATCACCGTATCATTGCCTTTAAACTGGGTTCATCGAGGTATTGTAGACAGGGCGAAATGGATGTACCTCACGTCTTTCGCCGACGCCATCTTGCCCTCGCATGCCTTATTGATAAGTCTGTAGCGATCTATCGGATACGCACGGCTTTGAAACTAAGATGCAGTCAGAATAATACATGGCAGATGGAAAAGTAGGCATACCAGCCACGACAACGCCCTGTGGCAAGAGCACGTTATCATAGACTACAACGCGAACATCGCCCTTCATCCTTTCAAACCGTAACACCGGCCTCCTTGACCATCGACCAAGGCACTGGCGAGTGTCGTCGCGCGAACGCGCTGCATGCTAATCTCGAGGCCGTGAAGGAAGTTAAGGCAGACCGGAGATGGAACGGTCGCACGATATGGGCGGCAGTAAGAAACTGATTCGTTGGGCGGAATCTTCCTGGGGATGGGGCATGGATTGGAACATGTAGAGGCCTCGATGCACTATCTAGTCCATGTACGAGGTATGGAACCGATAATCGCAAGTAATGCTGCACAAACGAGTGGAGCGTGCACAACGTATTTTTGCTATCCGAAGACGCGCGAAAACAGTCGTACGACATTGGGCGATCCCTATGACCATCCTGTCCTAATCCTTGGCGAGTAGTACAGTCGGAGCATCTTGGTAGCGCGCAGCTGAACGGCGTAGCAGCAGCACGACGGAAAGTGTACCGCATGACATGTTGATAATAGGGAATGGCTTTTTACCGCTTGACACTGTCCATGGTGAAAGAGAACGTCGTGTCAGGCGAGCGGTGTCGCGATAGTGGTGGTAGTAAAGAAAGAAGCATGCCGCCCTCCCGATTGGCTGGATCCGATTCAGGCAATCAACTTCCAACTCGCTTGATTTCGTTCAGAACCCCAAGGGCCAGCGTAGCTACTTGTACTGGAGTTCCCAAAGAGCTTATTCCGAAGACGATTCCACTTGTGTACAATTGGTATTCGCTCGGTCGACACATACTGGCTACCTCATATCACAGAAGGGTATGTACTAGCGTACAGCGGAGAAAGGAAAACATTCAAACCATGGCTAGAAGCAACGATTGTCTAGATTAAGAGGAAACGTCAGACACATATTCCAACAAGTAAAATGTTGAATCACCAAGAAGACTTGTTTTTTGAGTTGAGGCCCAGTCCAAAGAGGAACGATAACCTCATACTAGCACCAACGTAAACGAAGCCAATGCTCCCCCAACACATCGCGTTCCATTCCCAAAATTTCCAGAACACATCTGACCCCAATGGCGCCATGGTCGCGAGGTGACCAAAGTCGGCTACCAAGAGGACGAAAAGCAGACGCTTCCACGTCGTCAAAGACGACGTCGATGAAAGCACGAGATGCTCGTTCAACGCGAATAAGACGTATAGATTCGCAAGCTGCATAAGCGCCATGTTCGTCTGGGTCGTGTTGACAACGATGGGTTTGAACGCGTTCGCCAGGCTCAGGTCGCGCAGATAATCTGACGGCTGCACAGCCGCATAGTATGCACCTGCCAGAGCCGATATGGGCTCAATGTAGATGAAGAAAAGCTGGTATGGGAAGAACGGGATCGAGGCCATGATCAAGAGTGTGACGTCGACCCATGACGTATGCGGGGTTAATCTCCCACACTTTTACCACCGCTCTCCCACCACCACTGCCAGCATGTTGCCCTTCCGCAGACTCACAGCCCTCCAACCCCGCCGCGTCCTAGCATCGGCGCGCAACGCCCACTCCAGCGATTCCTATTCCAAAGAAGTGGATTCTACTCCGCCGCCAGATTCCAAAATCCATAGGGTGGATCCGGAGGCGAGCACGTCGCAAAAGCCGTATGAGCAGCCCGCGGGAGAGTTCAGCGAGGTTGGCGCGAAGAGCGCGATGGAGACAGGATATGCGACGATGGATAAGAAGCAGCCGTACAAGGCCCCCGGACCCAAGGAGAGATATGGCGCTGTCGATGATTTGAAGTCGAACGAGGGAGAGAAGGATGCAGGTCCTACAGGAAAGGATAGCAATGGGAGGAAATAGGTTTAAAGGACGAGGTACGACTTTTCCTTGTCATCTCGCAGTTCTTGCTCTGATCGCTTCGCGTCAGAAACAACCCACTGTATTTGTATTCGGAGTGTCAGTTATTCGTTACCAGAATGTCTTTGAAATCTCTTGTTCGCTGTAACAAGTATCCAAATCAATCACGTCGGCATATGTTTCTTTGATGATAATCCAATGAACCGACGCGCGGCAGACTTGTGACTCGATTGACAGATATGCAACGCAGAGAGTAACGTGGTCGCGTCTGCTCCAATCACCAGCTGATAGGCACTAGTCAGTGCCAGCTCAAGCTAGTATGGTGTCAATCCTGATGTCAAGATGGTGGCGGCAAATACCCACCGTAATCACAGTCGAAAGTCCTATTCACGAAGGAATCCATTCTGCCTCTGTTCCTCGCTCACGGACGCCTTCGCCTTTCTGATAAGGAGACCTCCGCGCGAACTATGTCAAGCGTTGAAGATGATTGCCTAAATGGGATGCAGGACCTTATCTACAGCCCCCATCGTCTTGCTCTTAACAGAGTTGGACATCCCCGACCACTGCGGTCATTCCTCGTGGCTGCCGTCGTCGGGTGACTCATAGCCAAGCGTCTTCTCGTAGAATATTCTATGCAAGTGCGCGCTGAGGTTTACGGTACGCTTTTCACATCATCTCCGAATCGCTATACCGTCATTGCTTTACAGGCGCAGAAAACCGCTGGTTTTGACAAGCAACGATTCCCGGCTTGCAATGTGTGTGTCTCTCAACGCTGTACGTCGATCCACTGCGTCGACTTCTACGGCCGATCCCGCGACTAGCTGGCACCGGTGGGTATCG